AATAAATTTGTATAATTTTTTAAAAATTACAGAAACCACAGAGAATAAAAACGTATAGTGCTTGACTAGGAAATGCTTCAAGGAGCAGACGAACAGGTCAATTCAGGTCGGGCATATATACTATACTCAGAGATATGCCGCGCCCTCTTCCGCTTTTAACATTCTCGCACAACCAATACATTCTCAATGCAATCTCTCAATGGATTTATACAAATTCAAATAGAAATTATAAATATTAAAAAAATCTTTAATTTAAGTTGATCTGCAAATCAACCAAAATAATAATTAGTTTACAATATTTTAGAATTTCTCCAGCAATGCACATGCATATCGGGCATATTCATTGTTGAGATACACCTCATTTTCATCCACATTCTCAGCAGCACCGCCCGCGTCCATTGTTTTATTCTGACCTGTGCAGGTGCAAAAGAGAATAAACGAAAAAAAGGAAACTGAAATACGGCTTGTTTTTCATGTGGTGCAAATTGCTGCAAATGGTTGCACGTGCGTGAGGCATGTTGCCTGATGAGGCAGAGGCGGATGCGGATGCGGAGGCGGAGGCTGCAGAGGCTTCGCGCTCGGTTTTCTGTTCTCTCTTTTTTTTTTTTTTTTTTTTTTTTTGGCTAACCAAGGACATGAACCTGTCCGCAGCAACTGGCCAAGTTGTAATACCATATCAGCTGCTGGACAGCCGTTGTCTCTTTGTGGCAGGGCCGTGTGTGGCAGCAGCAGCTATGCGAAATAAAAGTAATCGCATCTCTCGACAGGCTTCTATACATATATATTTTTCCTTTCATATATGCTTTTTTTACGTCCTGGCTGGCTGATGGCCATATGCGGCATATGCATCCTGAGCTGGTTCCTTTTTGTGCATATTTTATGCAACTTTTCTTTGGCAGCTTTTGTTGCGCTGCTTTTTCGTGTGTGCCAGCTCCCAAATCATTTCGTGCCCCGAATGTTGAATGCCCCAAAAACAGAAATAAAAACCCATAAAATGGGTGAAAAAAAAAGAAACGAAATTAAGCTAAGACCCAAGCTATGAGTGCAACAGAAAAAAATAAAAAAATAAAATAAATAAAACGAACGCTCAAGGCCATTATGAATGCGGGTGGACATGTGAATTGCGGCTTTTATTATGCGCGATGTGTCACGCCCACTTTACATACATACATTCACAAGCCCAGCGTGCCCAATCCTCTTGATCTGTCCAACTGCAGTGCACCTTTTTTTAATTAAATTGATAGCGCAATTAAGAGGACATTTCGATAGTCTTGAAGGTTATTTATATTGCGATATTATTTATGGCAGCGAATATAGACGTTGGGATTAAATGACAGAAAGCAAATGTGGAATACATATTGTAGTACAAAACGAATTCACCTGGCAGTTTAGAAGGAGAGATGGTAGGCTTAACTTGTTAGTTGTGTATCGTGTGACTATGAGAATCGAAAAAAAGAGGATAATAATCTCCAATTAGAAAATTTATTTTGTATTTTTATCGTCCTCTTAAAATCTGTTACATAATATGTACCCCAAAACTATAAAAACCCTTAAAATCGAGAAAATTCTATCGCCTTGAAACAAATTCATTCGATAGTTTGAATTTCTGCGTAAATCGAGAAAACAAAAAACTGATCCCCTTGCCATTTCGAATTATCGAAACTCAATTGTCATAGTTGAAATATGGACTGTAAATCTTTTTAACATACTTTTTTATTTAATACACAGGCAATTCCTAAAGTATATTAAAAATGTTTTAAAGCCTTAAATAGACCATTTTTTCCATAGTTTCACTAATACAACAATAAGAGAAGCTCGCTGTAAATAATATATATCGATGAAATTCATAAATCAAAATGGAACTGCAAAAAAATGTTGAAAATTTAAGTTAACTGTATGGCATATTGAAATATATTTAAGCAATATACATATTCAATAT